GGTTTCAGTGCGATTCGGATTCACACCCAGCGTGGTGAACTGTGACGGGAAAGGACGCTGGGCCTACATGTAGCACAGGCAGGATCCGAATTTTGTGTTCATCGCACGGATTATCTGAATGTTCAGGGGTAGTGCCCAGAATTCACATGCACCTACATTGGACATGCTGCGCGAGTCCCACAGGAAACAACAGATCGAGACTGAAATCTGGATCAACAGCAATTGGTTGTCAGGAGAAGCACCAGCGCTGGGAATTGGCAGACAGCGCCTTGGATGTCGAGGCGAGCTGCCGTGGTGTAAACTCCAGGGATTCTGGCATGACCTGCATCGCAACACTGAGCCGACATGCTTGGATCTGGAAGATTTATAAAGCGGCTTTGGAAGGAACTGCGGGTGCTTCTACAGGAGTCTCATCGCAGCAAGGCCCGGGGCAACAGCGCTCCTGAACCCGTTCCTGCATCCTGCCCCAGTCTTACCATGATTTCTTGGGTTTGTCAGTCGCGAGCCAGATTAACTTGCAGAATCTTCTTTGCTGCACCTGCATTATTACCAGTGTAGCCGTTGGAAGAAGATCATGCAGACAAGCTGTTTATAAGTTTGACAGACGGTCGTCCGCCACAGGTGGAGAAGGAGCTGCAGATGCAGCAGGCCAAGCATGACGAAGACGTGGATCGCATTCTGGTCCAGGCTGGCGCTTTCTTTGTGCAGTCCGACAAGGTCGATTCTATTAACCATATACGTAAGCTTGGGGACTTCACTGCAGAAGTCCCAGAGCACTTGCTGCATTTGCCGACCTTCTGCTCCCCGGCTTGGGTTCCTGTAACCCTGCAGTGGAGGGTGCTATCAGTATGATACCAAGGTTCACCTTTGCTGATGTGCCGAAGGGCACAGTGACGCAATGCCATCTTGCTTGCGGCGCTCATATCATCAGTGCTAGCCGCAAGTTGGGTATAGAGGGCCTAAATGCTACCCGAAGTTTGGTTCGGTTGGGCGGAAGAATCTGGACGGCATGCAAATTTGACAGACACCTGTCGATACCTCCAGAACAGTGAGCTGGACAGGTGCAGTCTTTCCAGCAGGAGCTGAAGTCAGCGATTGAAACCAAGCAGTTGCTGGACAAGGACCTTGCCTTGGCTCCATTTTCACGCATGGGTTGGTACTGATGCAATGTCGAAGTGTGGTAGGATACGCAGGATCAATTAAACAGAATTGGCTCTGCTTACAGCGTGCATCTTTCTGCAATAACTGTTGAACTCAGATGGTGGACAGGTTTGGTTTCGGTCAGAAGATCGGCAGAGAGTACGCAAGGCTTCCCTGCCAAAAAGTGCACCCCCCAATACATTGACATCGCCAAATTTCGGGGTGGGGCTTTGAAAGGAGAAGGCGTCCATGCAAGAGGCCCACGAGCTGCAGTTGCAGGACGACGGCGTTGCTGTTCCTGTGTGCATCCGTCCATCATTATGTTCGTCTTCCTGCCTGCTCTCCTGCTCGGCTGTTCGGCTAGCTAGCTAGCTGTCCTTTTGTTTGTTTGCCTGTGCGTCTCTGCAAGGGGCTGCGTAAGTGATCAGTGCACGTCTCTGAGAGGAATTATTGGGTATGCTGAGGGCGCACAAACACGCACGACTACGGTGATTTGCATGTCGAATTATGTCGCAGTGAGTTTCCATCCATTGCACGTCTCCCACAGGTATTTTACAGTTTGATCTTGGGGGATGCCCCTGTGCATCCCGCATTTTCTCCAGCCATTGGCAGGAGCTACAGGACAAGCTCAAAGAAAGCAGTGGATGCGAGGACGCGAGATGAGCTCTCGCCAATTACTGCATTGACATTTGCATGTTGGTGATGTCAAGACATGAGCACCGTGCTGGTTTGCATCCGCGTCTCCAGTGATCCGTCTGGACTGCTTTCTGCTAACATTCGTGTCCACGCGGCACGGGATCGATGTTTGTACGTATGTGTGTGCATTGAACTGTTTCGGTTGTGTTTCGATGAGTTGAACCGGTCTCTGGCCAGTACAGTTGTATATTGATATGCAAAGCAAGTTTTCGCGACGGTTTCGTTCCTCTGGATATTATATCGTACAGCCTGCAGTCCTGCAGTCTACAGTATCAGTCACTGACATGGCAAGCTTCGATCGTAGATGCTGCTGCTTTTGTCATCACCTGAGTGAAGCAAGTGGCAACAGCACAAAGACGGATCCGCAAACCACAAGCCTAGCAAACATGACGGTCTTGTTCACAGATGCAATACTTGTTAAGAAACTGACAAAAATCAAGTGTAATCTGTCGTCCTCCAGCTCGCTGCGGGTGGAGTCTCATGCACGGTTCGCGCCTGTGGTTTCGGGACGAAGGGATGCATGCAATTTAAAGACGATGGTGAGACCTGTTTCCTACATGGTTATACCGCCCCGAAGCAAGCATTAGTGAGTTGCGCAGCTTCGAGTCCAGTCGAGCCGGGCAGGCCCCTTTGTATGCTTGACGCTTAAGCACCGGCGGGCATTTTTGGGATGTACATACGTGTCCGCCAGGGCACGAGGTGTTACAGGGTTTGTGCAGAAACGTTCAACAGGATCATTCTCAACAATCACCAGCACATGTTGAAGCATCTGAATGCCAGCACCGTGCCGTCCCGTTGTATCGGAGTGCTGCCAGGATCTACTGCAGAAGCTTGCCGATTTGGAAGCGGAGAATGCAGAATGCCAGTTGCCCTAGTGACAGTTAACGTGCTGCGACTCGATCTGTTGCAATCGTTTGGGGACTTTGGGGTGTAGTACAGCGAAGACAGGAACGAGCAGCGGCAAATTGAAACAAAGGGACTCCTGAGTTTGTGACGGAGTTTTTATCACAGCGTCCTTTCCTTGGGATGACATTCCTTGGGATGACAATGAATGGTTGGTTCTGGCCGGCGTATTGTGCCAACATTCTTCGCTGAATACTGCTGCCGGCCAACAAAAAAAGGAAAGATATGAAACACTTCGGCATGCTGTCCTGCATTCTCGGACACATTCTCAAGCCTCTTGCAAAGCCGCTGGCCCCAAAAAACTGAATTGCCTGCTCCTAACTCCAAAAGGACGTAAAGACAGCGGAGCTCTGGTGTGCTCAGATGAGTTCTTCTCGTTGGTTTCTCTTCGGGTTCGTGTGCTTCTTAGCCCATTTAGCCCAGGCAAAAGCCGCTTGGTGCAAGCAGGCGAGGCGCTGTCGAGCCACGAGGTGCCAAGGTCGTGGTCGTCGTCATCGTCGTCGCAGTAGCAAGGGACATGTGAGTGGCTGGGTGTATCTAGTTGAGACTATGTGTACGTTAGTGAACTTTTCACTTGTCCCTTGCTGAACTTACCCACTGAGGTATGGCTTTCTTACAGGAGCTCGATAGACTCCGATAGACGCTTCGCAAGGGCTTAATAAGTGTTTGCGAAGTATTTGCCACAGAAATCAAAACCGATAAGACCTTTGCAGCATCTTCTTGGCTCGTCGTATCCTGCGCACCGATGCCCAACAATAACATAGTTTGTCATTTTACCTAGCAAAGGTTAGTTCAGGCACTGTAGTCAGTGTGGTAGTTACAGACCGGCAACATGACGCAGCCTGCCAGAACCACTAGGGTCTGTGATCATGAGAAGCAGTCGGCATGGTGATACTGTAGAAGCACTGTAGCAGGGTTCATTGATCTTTGTTTTTCGATTAGATGTGGGTCTTCAAGGAAGACCCGTGTTGCCATACTTCATTGCATGGTGCCGTGTCATCACGGGCTGCAGTCTGTATGAGACATGGCGTCTCATGCACAGGACCTCCAATCGCATGAAAGCTTAATGTGCACAGAGACAAACAAAACTCTTCAACCCAGCTCTCCAGTGCAGGCTGCCTTGCAGGAGGCCCTTCAGGAGGCAACAGATCTCAGCGACCTGGCGGCAGACACTCTCACAGAAGAAGCCATGCGGCTGGTAGCACATGTGGATTTTCCCAAACATCTCCCAGTCTTCCTGCATCCAGTTTCATCAACAAGTCATAGTCGGCTTGGGTAGAGCAGCGCAAGGTGTACTTCCATTGTCAGTCTACAGCTACAAGTAGCTCTAGTCTGCTTCAACTGTAGCATTAGAAGGATCGTGGAGAGCCTCAGGAGCAGAACTGGTGACTGCCAGCACCGCTGAGGAGGAGGCTGCCCCTTCTGAGGTTCAAGTCTTAGTTCTGGGTTTATGGGTTAGCTTGCACTTTGGATTTGTTCAAACATACCGGCGGTGTTCTGGGGGAAGAGTAAGAGTCGGGTCTTGGTGAAACCGCCGTCGCAAAGTCCAGCTTCGAGGCCCGACCAGTTTCCAGGTGCGGGTTTCTGATTCAAGTTTCCGTTAACAGTGTTAAATAGTGCCGTCGTGATTCTTCTGACCCTGCGTGTAGCTGGATCACGTCGAAGGCCTTCCAACTGGAGAGATCGCCCCCACGGGCAGGTGGTCAGGCTTCGAGAGGAGCTCGCGAACACGATCCAGGCTCTTGGGAAGTTCTGGAGCACAGCACTAGAAAGCTTTTCCAGAGCCCGGCAGGCTCAGACGTCATCTCCCACGTGGCCTGGCCGAAGTGTTCTCGCATGGCACAGGTCAGTTGTCCAGATTTCGCATCTCTCACTTTTCACCTTGCTGTCCTGGCTAGCTTACGTTTTTGCAGCGGATCCCTTCCCTGCACCTGCAGCAAAAAATATATATGTATGGCTGCTTGGCATTGTTCCACTCCAGCGTCCGTTTCGGAGCCACCGCCGTTCTTAGGAAACCGGCCCAGACCTGAACCCGATCCGCAAATAACGGGAACGAGGTGAGGGCCGCCAGCTACAAGTTGTTGTTGCTTGTATGTAGAACCCGAGGCAGATGCAGCAGCTTGCAGAAGAATATCAAGTTGCCCTGGCAGATATGGCATCGCTTCGCGCTGGCGACTGGGCCGGCAATCATAGTGACATTCGGGCGACCGGCATTGCTGGGCCCGAAACTGCTAATCCAGGAGGTCTTCGGGTGTCCTCAGAGGACATGTTGCGAACTGGTCTCAGGCTACGAGCAGGAGATCGATGGCTTGCAACAGGAGCTTCAGGATCGAGAAGCGAGCTTTGCTGAGGCCTCCCAGCTCAACAGCATGTTACAGCTGTGTGAAGCAGCCTCGTTTTTCCTTTTGCAACCTCCTGGACAGCATTTTTAGAAGGTACCTCAGGCTTCATGTTCGTTCGGTACTCTGGGATGGTCATGAAGACGAGCATCCTGTCCCGTGCGCAGAACAATGAGGCAAACGTTGCTGGACAATGCCCTTGTGACCTCCTGGAACCTAAGCCTGTCGTCTTTACCCATGAGTTTGCCCCGTTGTTCACTCCCCGTTCGGGAGCTTATGGTATGTCGATAAAGCTTTGTTCCAGCACCTCATGCCGTGCTTCCATGTCGGACAGCAAGCGGCAGCCTTGTTGTAATGTCGAGGAGTTACACATGCTATCGCCAACACAGGTAATAAACTACCAAGACAAGTTTTAGTACCCTGACTGTGTGTTCGATTTTTCACAGTGCGCACGGAAGCATTGCAATGCGCGTGGATATGGGGTGATATGGGTCTAGAGTCAGGACATAAAACGGCGTCAACAAAATCGCTTGACAACATGTTCTTCTCGGTTTTGCTAGTTCCTAGACGTGAACTATCACTCCCGCGCATGTGAGCATGGATGCGCGTATGGGCGCTTTAAAACAAGCAGTCAAGATACCCTGGCAATCATTGCGGGTGTCCAAGAATGAACATGACATCGAACATGGGTGGTTGGCAACAAACACAAGAAATCGTTGCGCATGCAGTTCTGGGGCGTCGTCGTGTATTACCCAGAATCTGACCGAAAGGCATGACGGCAAACACGCACAGGATTCCGTACAAGATTCAAAGCTGCTTTCTCTCAGTTGTTCCAGGAACGGAAACGCATGCATCAGAAGCTGCAAGAGCACGAAGAGACGGTTCGCAAGGCGAGATGGAGGGTGAGTTTTTAGCAGTGCCACTGTCACAGTTGCATGTTCCTTGCTTTAGGTCCACAGCGGCACCCGTCAAAACCCAGAACTCAGGACTTAGCAACAGGCGGTCGTGGACACGAACAGTAACAGAGGGGATTGACATGCATGATGGCTTTTCTCCACGGACATCAGCGGAGCGTCTTTGTTCTCAACTGGGCAGCAGGCCAATCACATGCAAGACGTGCTGTCCAAGCGCGTGGTGCAGTTGGAAGCCAAGCTCCAACAACAGACGTTGGACAAGAAAGATGCTGCCGAGGAGTTTCTTCATGAGCACAATTGACTTCAACATTTGATGATTCAGGTTCGACAATCTGCCCCCCCCCCCCTTGTTACTGTGTTGTTCAGATGCGGTGGGCAGCAGCAGCAGCAGCAGCAGTCCGCGCAACAACTTGATGATTAGGCCGTAGACGTTTTGCTACCGGACAAATCCCATTGCCTCAACGCATGCAATGTCACTGTGTGCCAACGCCGCAGATGAAATGCGATGTTGCATTTTGCGAAGCCTGAACGTTTGTGGTAGTTTCTGCGTCATCCTCATAGATAGAGGCCCCATGGCCTGTTGCATCGCCATACTTCGAAGAAGCCTTGGATACTAAGCTGCCACAGCCCGCTGCCGGCTTGCAGGAGCTCGACCACCTGCGCAAGTCAAGTCTGGCTGAGGCCGAAACAGCACAGCGGCTGAAGGCCCCAGTGAACCGCTAGGGGTGGACTGGACGGTTCGGAAGACGGGCCAGAAGCATTCAAACGCTGGAGCCCAGCCGCTTGCGCAGAATGGGCCGCAAGCACGTTCGAATGGTCTCGTGTCGGCCTGTCTTGAAGACTGGCCGAGTTGCTGTCTGTAGCCACATTCAGATTTCGGTGTGCATGTCGGCTCCTGCATGGTGACCTGCACCAGGAAGCAGAAGAACGCACCAAATCAGCCGAGGACCGTTCCTAGGAAAGGGTTGAAGTACTCATTTCATGCAGGCAGTGCCACGATGCGCTTTGGGTGTTGGCGATCTCGTTCCCGGAATTTTGTTGCTGATGCTGATGCTATCTGGTGCTTGTGGCGTTTAGAAGCATGGCTGCGACGACTTCCACCAGAACTACAAGCGCAAATGCGATGAAAACTCCCCACACCACCGCCGCCACCACCACCGCCGCGACGACGACTACTAGCACTACGACTAGGATGATGATCAAGACGACGATGATTAACGGCGATAGCGACGACGATTACTACTACGTTACTACGACTACTATTCCTACTACTACTACTACTACTACTACTACTACTACTACTACTACACCACTACTACTACTACTACTCCTCCTCCTACTACTACTACTACTACTACTACTACTACTACTTCTACTACTACTACTACTACCACTGCTACTCGTACTACTACTACTACTACTACTACTACTACTACTACTACTACTCCTACTCCTACTCCTACTCCTACTCCTACTCCCACTCGTACTCCTACTCCTACTCCCACTCGTACTCCTACTCGTATCCTACTCGTATCCTACTGCTACTGCTACTGCTTCTGCTCCTGCTCCCACTACTACTGCTACTGCCACGCTACGACGACCATGTTCGCGACGACGACGACTACTAGTACTGCCGCCTCCGCTACATGCAATGACGGCGATAGTGCCGCCTTGCTGCTGTGAATGTCATGCCAGCCCGGGAACAACTAGCTGAGATGCTGTGACAAATACTACTGCCTTACTACTACTCCGGCTGCTACTGCTCGCTGCGTCGTTTCAAGGCAAAGTGAGACCGCCCTTGTTGCAATTCGTCCAGGTTTATTATTTTTGTAGGCTTGGAACCATGAAAAAGTCCAAATGTTACAACGCTCTAACAGTGTCAACTGGATGCTGCTTTTGTGACTCTGGTTCTGGGGTAGCATGTGCAGCCGCTTGTTAGTCGCAGAACTTGGTTGACAAGTGTGCCCAACACACCCCGTAGTCAAGGTCAGGGACATGGCAGCAGTAGCAGTCGTAGCAGTGGCATAAGTACCAATGAGGCTTCGACACGTCGGAAGTCTTGGAACTTGATGATATAGTATACATGCAGGAGTCTTTGCCTGGATGCCGTCGTTCACTTGCCACAGTGAGCATATCATGTGCATCATTTACATCTCTCCCCGTGGAAACTGAATCGCATGCGCAGCTGATGCTGCTCTATTGCCTGTCTCATATACTGTTTCATTCTATGCATCGGTTTAATTACTCTCAGCAGCAGTTCTCAGCATCGTGCAGATGCATCAAGCTGTGTCATGCGGTTGGTATCTCTGGCTTGCTGCAGGAGCTGCTGTCAAAGACAGCCGAGAATTTTCAGGCATCAGAGACGCGCCGGCTGGAAGCAGAGGCGATGTGTTTGCAAGCCATGCTGCAGGGCTTGCAGACTGCAATGTGAGGAGAGACAATCCTCGCGATTTTCGTTCTGTTTGCTTGCTTCCGCCCTGAACCTAGCGGGAACCCAGCGGCAAATATGGCAGTTGTGACTTGATTGTGTGCGTGATATCTCGTGATCTTCTCTCGGAAGGTTTAAGGTGCTTGTTGATACATCGCACCACGAGGACATACCGAAAGATGACACATACAAATGTAAACGTCCTTCCCAGAGTCGCAGGGACGCTGTGCCAACATGACTAACTCACGTGAGACCGTCTACATGATCCTCCAGTACAAATAACAGGCATGCTTAGAAGTTTCAGCTATGGCACAATGAGCCCGCACATTCTGAATCTTCTGAGCCGACAGAGGGCGTGGCGAACGAGCTCAAGCAGCGAGTCGTTCAGCTCGAGGCGCAGCTCAAGAGCAGGCCGCCGGCCCCTGACGTTGCTGCGTTTGAGATGCCGTTGTGACTAGTGGCGATGGTGATGATGCGGCGATCATGATGTTTGGTGATTCTGGTTCTGGCGCTTGTGGTTGAGGTGATGACGAGGAGGACATGCGATTGCTCGCGAGAAGGTTGGCAGGCAGAAGGCATTGAAATCCATTGCACCAAGCAGAAAGCATTCAACTACAACTACAACTCAGAAGACGCGACCAGTGATGCAGTAGGAGGAGTGCTGGCAGTGGCAATAGTCCTGGTACCAGTCGTATAATGTCGTGGTGGCAGCGGCTGAAGCGGCAGGTGCGGCAGCAGCAGTGCAGCAGTCGTCGTCGTAACAGTATAATTCTGTTGGTCGTGGTAAGAGGTGTAAGGAGCAGCCGTAGCAGAAGCGCAGTAGCAGCATTTGCAGTAGCTGGGTCAGCATCAGTGGTCGTAGTGGAAGTGGTCGAGATCGTGGTCGTATCCTTATCCTTAGCCATAGCAGCGCATGGCAGCTGTAGTCGAAGTCCTCGTCGTCGTGGGAGTAGTGTTGATCGGAGGAGTAGTAGCAGCAGTAGTAG